TGGCCGGCCCAGCCTCAAACCGTGACATTTACTAAAAACTGCTACTTATAGACAGAGCAAGAGTCTTCATAGCCAGGGAATGCGTAAGGCAGGTCCAAACTGAAGGGAGCTTACCCACCGAAACATTTTAAACTTGATAAAAGTATTGGTAAGGGATAAATAGTACAGTCTAACATAATCATTTCTATCATAATGAAAACACTTTTTTCCCGCTTTATTTTTTAACACAATTATTTGTTGTGGAAAAGCAGCCATTTGTTAGGTCTTCAGAAAAGTGCATAAATCCTCCACCTGCAATACAACCGTTGGGAACATTGTAGTAAAGTTGCTTCAGACATGATCACTGAAATGGAAATAGGAGCAAAACCAGTGAAAGAGCCTTAACATACATGTCCTAGCCTCATTTTTAAACAACATCAAGGCCACGCCTGTTTCCAGCTCCCTAAATGGCCACAAGTCTCTAAGCGTCTACATTTCAATTCTTCAATAAAATGGGAAAATAGTAAGTTAAAATTATGAAAGAATCAGATATTAAAATATAACAGAGGCAAAATAAAAATTTTTAATAAATAGGTGACCAAATTTCACACAGCAAGAGACAACAGATCGTGTCAAGAGCTACACTGGATAACAGTGCTGTATGAGGTCAGCAAGACCTTTTCTTTCTCTTCCATATAATTTCTTCAACAACAAATGGGTACAGATTGTTCTCAACTTTTTTTTCCAGTTGTATTCAACTCAGTCTGTAGTGTGAAAAATTCCAATATAACTATACCTCTATTTCCTATTCCTCTGCTTAAAATAAAAGAGATAAGAACCGCAGAGGTTTAGCCTATTTGTAACCCACTCTCGTGACACATTTTATGCAATCAACCAAAGGGATTAGAGAAACAACCTTTCCCCCCAAGTAATTACATAGACACTTTTTAAGAATACTTTGTTATTCTATAAATGTAGTATAAATGACGTTCTAGAAAAAGCCCTGGAGCACTTCTTATAGTGAATTTTGCTATTAGGCAATACTGATGACATGCATTGCTAAACTAAATACAAAATTTATATCTACAAGTCACCACCGATAGTCATGAGTATTAGAGCAATTCTTCTGCAAAAGACTTGGTTTTGACAGATATTTCTACCATAAACTTCAGAAGAAAAAAAAAAACACTTTCCATTAACTACATAAACCCCTATTCAGTATTAAAACTCTGGCAACGCTATTTTTTAAGTGGAAAATACTTTTCAAAATGTAGATTTTACTGTTCCACACAATGTCTCAAATCAATTTCATTATGTATGTGTGGATGTGCTTGAAGCTGCAATAGCACTGATTGCTGTTACACAACTGAGAAAAGAATAACAACAATAACAATAGTAATAATAAACAACCACCCTACTAAAATGCCTGCCACTTGCCTTTCTATATGTTTGCAGCTGACTAGGTACTCAAGATACAATCCTGTGGCCATTTCACAATCAAAGTGCATTCAGATCAAAGTAATTTATGAGCAATCACTGATGCACCTACTGGGTTCTGCACTGCAGTTCCACAAGGCATTGTTTCTCCTGAAGATGGTGAACTACCTTCACCCATCTCAAGGAAGATGAGGTTGTTTTCTAAAGGTTTACTGTGTCTGCCTTAGCTTGTAATTACCTTATTTGATTCTGTAAATAGTCAAAGAAATACAGCAAAATAAAGCATTTTCACGTAAGACATTAGATCTTGTGAATTCGTATTAATAGCAAGAAATTGTTCAAAAGACTAATTTTTGCAGCAATGAAAAAGAAAAGCAAGCCATAAGGAAGCCATCCGTTTCTGACACAACAGTGTTACTGCTTGTTACGTATTACTCGTGCATATATTGTATATAAGCACACACATGTAAAATCTTAATATCGTCCAGAAACACTGGTACTAAACTGATGGCTTGCTTTCCAAGAGAGCCAGCCTTGCAGGACTAGCAGTTCCTCTATACTGGGCATGTGAGTCTGTTCTTAGCAGTCATGGGCACTGACACATCCGTGATCAGAAACGTACAGATGCAAGGCCCAGAGGTTTTGTACCAGGGCTGAAGTCTGAAAGAACTGGCCAGCAGAATATATGCTGGGCTTCGACTACAGCACTATATTCTGTAAATATATCATCTTTAGTCTTTAGGAGCACAACCCACCCTAATGATTCTGCCAACTTCTGTCTCCATCCAGACAAAAACAGAGACAAAAGCTAATTTTTATTTCTATTTAATTACAAAATAATTACTTATTAACATTACTAATTCCATTACTAATCTTAAAGTTAACCCCAAATCACTGCTATAAAACAACCAAAAGAACAGTAGTAAAGATTCAGTATTAAAGAGTAAGCTATCTCCAAAATTAATACATTTTCCATTTCAAACCGGGAAAGTAAAATATCATTTAATATCACAAATCATGATATTTATTTTCAATACCCTGAATAAAAAAAAAAAAGGCAGAACAGAAACAGAGCGCCATAGGACATGGAAGGGAACCTGGGGAAAGAACTCCACAATATGAGTGGAAGTAGTTTATATCAGAAGATGCTTTGAAAACCAGGAATAGGTATTAATCACCGGCTGTAGGGGAAATAGTCTAGACATAGCTTTAACCTGCCACGCAGCCTCCCGGAGGCTGACCCATCGTCAGTTTTGGCCAAAGGACCCACTCACACAAAGCACAAGTTGGGACTGGCCTCTGCCAACATCACCCTAATTTGTGGGCCCTGAAGCATCCACCAGTTGACTGTCCTTACTCTAACCCAAACATCAAGCCTGAGCTTAATTACAGCCAGGGAGTATCTGAAATAAAGGACGACCTCCTCAGCTATCCACAAGAGCCTCTCTGTGCAGTGCTGTTAATTACAACTAAGTTCCAAACCCACAGCACACTAACCCATCTTGCAAATACCTGCCTGAAGTCAAGCACCAGCCTGTTTCTTCTGCACTGAGAGCACCCACAAGGGGAATAAATTCAGAGCAGCCAGTGGACTGCAAATTCAGACTTATTTTATGAACATGAGAAAGTATAAACTGACATATTACTTGAAAGACATGCAAGATAATTAATGCAACTACATTATCAGTGAATCAGACGTTAAAATACTAAAAGATTAAGTTTAGTTGATAACAATTCAATCTCCCTAAAATTAAATGATAGTCAGTATAAAGAATTTAAAGATTAAAAGCTAGAGTTTTTATTAATGTCTGTAGCGATTTAAGATAGTCTGTATTTATGCCAAATACCTAAGAGATTATAGAAATAAAGGAATACAGACTTCAGCCCTGTGACTTTTATTGACTAGAACTATCTTCACAATGCCTCTATCAGCCTAGATAAGATCCATTGTAACATTTAACTAAGTAGTTTTACCAAATAACTTCTGGTTTGTTTCAGAATAATCTGTTTTCCCTAGAAATTATTTTCATAACTTTGAATTTAAACTGGATAAACATATGGAAATAATATTTTACATAATCAGAAGTGGAAGCAGCATAACAAGAGTTGATCTTGTCATATGTGCATCTGCTGTATGTAAACCACTCCTCTGCTCAGGAAACATCCAACTTGTTGCATCCTGATTAGTTTTCTAATACAAGGTCAGCAAAAAAGCTGTTTCAAGTTAAGTAAAAGTGTCTTCTGTTTGCTGCAGACCATTTCTCTAAGTCTTACCTACACTTGAAAAATAAGTATGCACACAAAAAATGTGGTATCAAAGAGGAAAAATCCACATTAAAGTTGTAACTTATGGATATTAAAAAAAAGAAATCACAAACATCATGTACTAAATCCAGTTAAAATATAATTTAAATAAATACACCTTTCAAATTTATCCCTTCCTCTAAAATAGCACAATCCCTTCCTTTAAGTAGTCCAAAGCACCTAGTCTTTAGTTTGGATTATTTGCCTACTCTGTATCCGTTCAAAATGGAAGCCAGTTTCATTTATTTGACAGGGCAAGACCAGCTGACATCACTAACTTCAATTCTGTTTTATTTCTACCACTTGAAAGTCAACAAATTCGGGTGGCTTGGTTCTTGATTAACTTTTTTTATTTTTATGTCTGACCAGAACACTGAAGATGCAGCTTTACAATGGAAAGGTAAACAGAGACAAATTTCATGAAGGCAGCTAAATGAGACAAAGCATAAGTTCCTTTGATAAATTTTACTAAGAAATTGGTGATGGTTGACAGTTACTCTGTATTCACTTACTTCAAAGTCTCTTCCAGTTTGCGAATTTTCTTTTGAGCATCCCCTCTTTCTTTATCAAAATTATTCCGGATGCCATGAATCTACCATTCGAAGGAAAAAAATACCATATTTTAGCTAAAACAAAGTCCAATTAAAAAAAAGTTAAATTATAAAAACTATTTATTTTGTGAATGTCTTTTGCACTGCTGTAGACAACCATCTATGTATTTCTAAAATTACATAAAATGCAAGAATAAGGATTAAAAGAGATGAACTATGAGAATATAGCCAATAGAGCTATTTTTGCTCTCAAAATTAATATTATTATCTAGAATAAAGAAATATCAGTAATTACATTAAAGTGAACTAGATTTTCTTTAAACACAGGAAAAAACCCAAAGAAATCTGCCTAAAATAATGTATTCTCTATGGTGCAGAGCTCCTACTTACCAATTTGTGAATACCCAGAGTGAACCGCTTTTTATCAGTTCTTACAGCAACAAAAATCCCAAACGTAACAACGTTACTTTACAAGAACACATACTCAAACATTAACTAGCTGAGGGGAGATACTCCCAAGAACAGTAAAACTTTGAGGAAAAGTGGTTTACTACTAATGAACTACTGACCCAGTGAAATCAACCCACAGTGCTTGAATCATTATATAAAGCCCGTCCTTTTCCCATTTTGCATCCAGACATTAAAAATGCCATTATAAATGTGGGGGTACGGCACTCTTGTGCAAGCGTACAACTTACCAACCCCCAAAAAGCACACAGACACCTCTAAAGTCACAGAGCATCTTGGCAGACAAGTATTATTCCATAGCAACTGTGATCATGTGCTGCTTATAACACAGTGTGAATCCAGAAAAAGTTATCCGTCACTCCAATGGACATGGTAAGAAATCGATCCCAGTGCAGCCCAAAAGCCTCTCCATCCTCAGACGACGAAAAAGCCACCCCCGTCATCCTCCTGTCTCTGACCTAGATCAGCATTAGTGTATGTCTTCACCTTGAATAAATCTGCAGTACAAAAATCTTCCACTTCACATGACCTCAGTACGCAGCAGAGGATCATTACTGTCTAACATCACGGGGTCCCACACCTCTCTCCATTTTCCTTCGCTCACCTATGCTACTTATCCCTCTTCCCTGCCATCTCCCCAAGCACACTGTACATTTCCAATTAATTCTTCCCCTCCACGCAATTGCCATTACACCAGGCAATAGCTATACACACATCTTTTAGAAGGTACACTTGTAAAAGTGAGACAAACAGGCCTCTTCTGTAAATATCCTAAAGACACTCAGAGTTACAAAAAACTTTAATCTCCTCTAAATGTTTTTATTTTTCCCAGTATCTTTTCGTTACCATTGAAATTTGAAAAACTATTTTAATTCCTACTAGTATTTAGTCAATGCAGGATGAAAATGGCAGCTTTCAAGACCTCACAAGGGACATATCCTAGCGATCTGAGAAATCGCTTCTCCCCCTTTAATGCAATATAGTTGCAAAAAACATTGAACAAAATCAAACTGCAACTTCCTACATTCACTAACCAGGAATAGACATTTTTATGAAGAATCCTTTTCTCTAGTACTTCTCGATCAAGAGAGGCAAGCAGCTTCAGAATTTGGCAATCTCCCTGGCATGGTCCAAACCATGGGTTATCATAACATTTTTGCCAAAGAGTTTGTTTTGCTTTTAGGATTGCTCAAGTAACAATGTGGCTATGTGACCTACTAAGCATGTTTTTCTTTACCAGATGGGGAGCACAGGAAATCCTTTATTCACCTACAATCATTTGCAATGTTACATGCTATTAAGTCATCACAATAAAGGAAAATGTGTTTTAATAAGTTTAGTCAGAAGCATAAGAGTGTAAGTCCAATGGAAAAAAAAAAAAAACCAAATTTAGAGATTCTCTAATGCAAGCAGCTCCATGGAGGTGTTTACTATACGGCAGTGTGAACACCTAGTTGGTTTGAAAGAACCTCCAAACGGGCGGGCTGCCTATCAGACAGTAAAGGAGGTATTGCCAAACCTGGTAAAATTATACCTATTTAACAGCTGGTTCCAGAATGGCGCCCAGAAATATCTGTCACTGTTCTTACACTTAGCTCAATGTTTGGAAAACAAGCAGCAGATTATTTATAAAAAGCAGGTGTTTCCTTTGCTTGTAAAACCATTTAGCCTAACTGGTTCCTGATTCAGCAGATAAGCACATTTAATCAAACAGCGACATTTAGGGTTACTACCTATTAGTTGTTTGATGTTTAAATATCCTAGCAGGCAATAGCCTCTGTAATAAAGATTATTAGATAATGTGTAGGTTCTTAAGTGAACAGATTGCACCAGAGACTTTATGATTCCTTTACTTGAAGGCAAGGTTCTTGTAGTATTTTATGGGCCAATCTATACTATTTTATGGATTTATATCCATAGATGGTTCACATGTCTTTTCTCTCCTCCTTTCTCAAAGATTTGATTTTGAAAACACAGCTACATCAAAATTTATGATGCTGTAAAGTTATCCACTCAAAATAAAGGGTTTACTCTCTTCTTTACCAATACAGAGTTAGAACTTCAGTGTATCTGTGCTCACTGGTGTAAAGCGACTGCTGACATGCACTTAGCCCACGCTAAGCAGCATTCTCCCAAATGAGCCTCAACCTTCATTCAAGAGTCACCCAGGCACCACCGCAGAAAGGCAATACAGACACATCCACCTCACTGTGCAGGACCGTAAGGTTTAGCACTGCAGATGTGAGCCATTCGACGGCATTTGGACTTGGAGCCTGGAAACACGACCAGCCCCATTAATCTGTACTCATCTGCAGAGGAAGTGATATATTGCAATAAACTAATGTCCACTATGCTTCAATAGCTAGATAACATCCAAATTATGCTATTACATTTGTATTTGGACCTGCGATATTATTCCAATCCTAGGCTTTTCTTGAGGCAATCATTCGTAAAAACTTGTCTAAAAAGACAAATGTAGACTCAGATTACAGCAAAACATATCTTGGAACAAAAAAGTATTTGACTTCAAGTCAGCAAAAGGCACTAACTCAAACCAAAAGCTCGCTACAATTCATGTTGCAAATGCTATTACCAAGTGACAAGTAGCTATGATCACAATTTGTTATAAATTTGCCACATTTGGATATGACATGTTTGAATAACACATCCTTTCAAATAAATAGGCATCTAACACACCCTCTTACTAAAGACTGCATGAGCTGAACATACAACATCACTAAAACTGAAGTTTAATTTGAAACCTATTTATGTTTAAAGTCTAAAAGAGTAGACATTATTTGCAAAGTGCTTTAAGATGAAGTGTTTTTGATGAAAATTACATTTTTTAATTTAAGCTTCTGATATAAAAACAATGCATGTTGACAATGTATAAAGAACACATTAAAATCACAGAGAAGTATGGAATAAAAATATTTTGGGGAAAAAGAAGCATGGAAGAACACACAAACACTGACAACAGGTCAGGCTAAGTTCAATTTAGTTCGTTATCTTTTCTCTACCAGCAGTTAACGGCAGATGCCCACAAGAGATGGGTAGACGAGCAGGACAGGCTTACAGTGGCACGTCTCTGGTAATGCCCTCCCAGCCTCCACCACTCAGCAACAGATTCCTAGAATCAGAGGCGGTATCTCTGTACTTAAATAGCCGTACTTAAAAACTTCCTTGAATTTGTCCAATTATTTTTCCAATCCATGTGAAGTGCTCAGATTCCAAAGTTTACTCCTTTGAGGATTTCAGAATTTAAAGTTTCAGCTTCTGTATACAATAAAATTGGAAGTGTGTATAAAAGGGTATATTTTCCTGAAAACACTACCTGTTTTTCGTACTCGTGCTCCAAGTGAAGTTTGTCCTGTTGAAGCTTGTATTCTTGATCCTGCAAAGGAAGAGATGTGTAGTCTAAATAAACAACTTGCATTTTTCTCTACTTGCAAAGCAGTCATTAAACACGCACACATTTGCCATCATACAGAACAGTCCATAAAAATTTAAAATCCACTTTATATCATCAATAAAAATTTTTCTGACATACAAAAAATTTCAGCCAACAGCACAAATATCCACACATAAAAGTATCTCAAAAGTCATGATTCATGTTTTCTAAAGAGAAACAGCAACTTGTTCTCCTGAGCTATTAAAATGCCACTCTGTACTACATCAACTGTGAAATGAAAGACATGGGAGGAAAAGTAGATGCCAAAACTCAAAAAGGATTGATACATGAGACATATGTGGAACTCATTATCCTGAGATAGGAGGATTAATTTAAATGCCTATAGGAAGATAGAATATTGAACTGAACTGTTAAATAGCAACAAAAATAAAAACAATTTTGAAACTTAAAAGATGTTTACAGTTTAGGAAGAAAATATATTCATAATTCTTTGACATGCTATAACCCACTGATACATGTTTATACTGTTTCAACATGAATTACAAGTCAAAAAGTTCCTGTGAAAATTCTGCTCTTATCCATGAAGTGATCTCTTTTAGTGATAATTTTAAAATCAACCTTTAAGCATAAGGTGACACGTTATATAATTCTATGAATAAAATACATACAGAGATGCATGCTATGTACAAGTGCATTTTAGCATGGCTATCTACACATTCACATCACGGGAAAAAGTAAAAGGGCTGCTCATTCTTGAGCAAGAACTCCAGGACTCACCCTCAGCTGTTGCTGTGTCTGATGTTCTAAATCTTGTAACCGTTGTTTTAACAGACACACACTATGCTGTAATTCTTCAACCTCATCAGACGCCTGTAGGGATTTAACAGAAAAAGGAATTGGTGTTGCATTCCTCATTAGCTCTACAGATACGTATTTTGTGTTTTTAAACGGATTTCTCATGCCTGGAAATCGGAAAAAATTATCAACTTGAGGAAAAAAGCCTGTATGAGTTTATAACTCCTGATACATCACTTCTGTCCATCTGGTGAACTTAGAAATTTAAACAAAATCACAAAAATAACCCAAAAGAAACCTTGGCACTAACAATTAAAAGAAAAAAAAAAACCACCTTGTAAATTAAATGGAGTAAAGTATCATCAAATCTTCCAGATTTCCAGCAAATAAATGCAAAAGACTCCATTTGTCCTATTGCTCTAAGGATTGGGAGATGGTATTTAAAACACGAGCCTTTTCTACAATTATTTAACTTCAAAGCATATACTATATATCTACCTATGTATCTTGGTAGATATCAATCTGATAAATGTTTTTATAGAAACAAATCAGAGTTATTACATATTGAGTGGAATCTGTGCTTGCAGAATTTAAAAATGATTTCTTACACACCAAAGTATTTAACATAATGTTCCATAGTAGAGAGGCTTGCAAGAACGTTCATTTCTGGAAGAAGTGTTTTTCCTCTCACTGAAGAGGCCTTATAGAAAACACTAAGTCTTTAGGAGTGCTGACGCCCTCTGGTATCGAGACTTTTTAAGCAAGAAGCACAAAGAAAATCAGCATATTAATTGTACCTTATCTGAATCATCTATGGAAATACCACCTATATGTACACATACACACACGCACCCACAGAATTACCAGTCAGCTTCAAACAACTTTTCAGCCAAAGTTGGGAATGAACAATTGAATCACAACTTTTTTTTTTTTCTTAAAAAAAACAAACAACCACTTACGCACATTAATAACTTCAGGAACTGAACAGTTCCTTGGATTTATTCATAAGCATTACATTTATATTGAGGAGACCATTTTAAAAATAAACATTTTAATGCCTGTTACAAATGGTAGCATACCTTAGCTGCAGAGACAGCATGTTCCTGCTTTATAAAACCTATATCAACATCATATTTACTTTGTAGTTGCTGAATGTTCTTCTCATATTCCTGTATAATATGGTCCTTGTCTTTCTGAAGTGAGCTGTGCCTACAAGTAAGCAAACAGAATACGGAAATTGCTTTCATATTCTAGCATTTTACCTGCTCAGTATCGTTTCTACAGTGTATGCAAGTCTGCCTCTACCACGTGCTTGTTGTCACAGAATGAAATGTTATAAATAATGGCAAGATACCATACTTCTTACGATGGTCATTTCTGTCAGTCCCAAAATGAGTTTCACATCAATTAACACATTTTCATGACAATTTTCTAATGCCAATTACCATTCACTGAGTTCTTGAAATAAAATTAATAACGTTTGCTTTCAGAAATTCCATATTCTTCAACATTAAAAACAGCAGCCACTATTTAATTACCTTGCTTTCATTTCCTGAAGTTCAGAGCATACCGCCTGGTAACATCGCTCGGCATCAGCCTTTTCTTGAGATAATTTTTGACGCTGTAAATTACTATTTTCAGCTTCAACAGTCAACTGCTGGACACGAGCCTCCAGTTTTTTGATTGTCTGGTCCTAAAAGAATAGGTAGTTGTTGAGAAAACACCAGAAAAAAACCCAGGGTATACCCTGTTGTTATTCAGTAGCCTAGAGCAACAACATTCTTTGGTGGTCCAGAGACACATCAGTTACAATAGCAAAGCTGTCATCAATCATTACAGTAAACTCGATGTTGTATACAAGAAATAAATGAATCTTCATAATACGGATGTCTAACCCCCTCCACCCAAAGTGACGTGCCTTCTCCCCTAAGCAAAACAATACGTGCAACTGATTTCTGAACTACAAATCCGTCACAGATATTTCTATGAAAAACTGTAATGGATGATAATGCATGTAAAGCATCTTTAGACCACCTATGAACCAATTTGTGTTTCAAATCAATTAACAAATATTAACGAAATAATTCACCAATCATCTTGTAAGGGAAGTATACCATCTCCATTTTATTACTGGGAAATGGAGACATACAGAGCAGGAAAGTGCTGCACACAGGAATATAGCAAATCCGTATCAGGACTGGGTGCATTCCTCAAGTCCCTCCTGGTATAGCTTTCCCTAATCCACTTCTCCATATCATTTATTTAATCACAGTGATTTCCTTTCAATAAATTACAAACACCTATCAAAACTTGTATCTTTTCCCCAGAACTTCACCTCCTAACAAACAATTTTAAAAATGAGCAGAATGAGGACAGGCAGGTAGCATCAGAGTTCTCTACTACTTCCCATTCTTCCCTAAATTTATGTTAATATGCACGGAAATAAGAGAATTCCTCAGGAAGCTGGAACCAGAAAATAAGACACAGCTGTCCCTCCCGGATGTACATATCACAGTTACTGTTATATTAACAGAGACCTGAAGATGAGGGAAGTGCAAGAATATTTCACCCTCTGTTAAAGTAAAATAAACCCACAAACATCTCAAGTCAGTGCCCCAACTGTCACAGGACTGTTAAATGAGCTGGGAGTAATGCAAGAACCTCACCCAGCCAGAACGGTCACCTGAATTCCGTCAAGTGTCTTAAGATGTTTCATGAACACAGCACAGCAAACTTCCGTCAACGCAAAGCCAGCTGCACAGTATGGACTGGGGGGACAGGGTTTGTTCGGGTTTGGGTTTTTTTGTTTCAGTTTTGTTTCTTTTTAAAGAACACCACCACCCCCCAAAAAAAAGCTTCGTACTTAACATATCACCAAATATCGTAACTCCTCCCTGCCCATTCACCCCTCAAGGAAGTTAATACTTGCTCAAGGCACAAAACCCTACTTCTCAGTTCTATGGAACTAGTTCAGTGGTTCAGCCAATTACACTTGCTAACAGCAATGGGGCATTCTTGACAATGGGAAACACTGAAATACCAACACAAAACAACCACAAAAATCAGCAGAGAGAAAGAAAGAAAGGGAGAGAAAAAAAGAAAACTAATTTCCAGTGACAGTCTCGTCTTTCATCTTAAGCCCTGCCTTGAACTCTACCTTGTTTAATTATTAAATCAGAAGCTGCTCGGCAAGATCTGTCTAGTTTTGATGGTTCTTAAATTCAATCTTGCTGACAGACTGTGTCCATTTTTCTCTGTATTTACTGTTACCTATGGCATGATCTGAATGCTAATTTTTAAAGTCAACATTCATTAGAAAAATAAATTTTGTTCAACATTGTCTTTTCACTTTTCATACCTCATACTGATAAAAAGTACAGGATGCTTTCTGGAGGATATTTGTTAATTTTTTTCTTTTTACATCATTTATATAGCAGGCACAAAATCCAGATTAAACCTGCTTACATATTTCTAATTATTCTAGGAAAGAAATGCAATAAATTAGAACAATATAATAAGTATTTTAAAAATCCTTTTTACTTGATCTTTAACAGAAGCATTTGATCATTCAAAGAGGACATGGGTAAACAACTAGTCACGTGTATCAATGAAAACAGATGTACCATAGGAATTGTTTTTCCTATAGTCTACAAACCTACAGAGGCAAAAGTTCTGCTAACTTGACTCAAAAACAGTGAGAAATGCTAGAAACAGTCCTTCACTACAAAGATATATCTGAATAATATTCATTGAAGGGGGAAAAATCCTGGTTGGACTGGCTGCCAGGACACTGTTCTCTGCCCAGACAGAATAACTGCATTGCACCATCTAAAATATTTCTCAGCTCAACAGTATTCACATACACTTTCACAAAAACACATGAAATTTGAATACTGCAAGAGAGATTTGCTGTCATGACATATTTACAAAAAAACCCTTACAGTTGACTTTATCTGTTCCAAATAATCTTCCTCCATTTTGCTAAGACGAGCATTGGTGTCCTCAAGCAGTTCCTGCATATCTACTGTGTGCTTCTTCTGAATATTAAACTTCTCCTTCTCCATCTCAGCCACAGCATTGTGAAGCTGCATCACAAAAATATAAGCAAATAATAAATGGCATGTAAAACTAGCATAAGTATTATATTATTATAATATATAAACAGAATAACAAGCACAGGCCACATTTCTGTCCTCTATAACAAAACTAGATCATTATCTCACTAAATAGGTCTACTACGACTCTATAAAGCAGTAATTTAGAAGTAGAGATAATCTAAAAACGTACAGAGGGCATAACTTACCCTTACAGAATACTAAAACACATATGTATTTTTGCCATTCTCTGCTATTCTATTTGTTTACATATTTAAACCGAACACCACTGACTATTGCACAATATTAATGAATTTCTATTGCAGAAACACTAATGCTCTCTCCAGATACTTACACCGCCACTTTATCTGCCTCTCAATTTGTAAGAAGCTGGAGAGCCTTGACTATCTACTTGTCTAACGAAAGGATTATTTGTGTCATTACTAACCCTCAATTTCTGTTCCAAACACCAGTGGCCTCCCTTTCTAGTTAAGCAGCCTCAAATCTGACTTTTCTATCTATACAGTAGTAAAGAGTAATAATCACGTCAAATTAGCGTACGAAGCTGGTGTGGCGTACTGGGTGTACAACAGCTACTATGTATTTCTCAAGTTTTTAACAAATCCATTTCACAACTGAAGGAGAAAGCTGCCATATATAAGATACCAGCATCATTCTAAACATGCTGCTAAACCCAGGTTCATTTGCACAAGTATAGATTTTCCTCTCCAACACATAGACTAGCAACATCATGGAGATGTCTGTTAAATAATGGTCCAGATTCACAGACTTCAACAGTGTGCAGTAACTTAACATAAAATTTTTCATCCAAAAGATAAGAATGCTATAAATTATTATTTTAAGTATCATGACGTACTGCGGTGTGCAGAAGATTTGGTGAATTTGAGATCCTTTAAAAATAACTGGGAAAATAAATAAATATCTAATCCCCAGGGGCATAAAACATAAATAAAACAAAAAATTCTGTGAATGTCTCTACCTCCCGTACAACAGACTACAGTAATATCTGCATTATTGTCAGCAACATCCATTCAGATAACCTGCATCTATTCAAAGGAAAAAATACATGGAAGTAGTTAAAAAAATGTTGCACTGTCAACTTCTACTCTATTTCCGCCATACTTCCCACTATCCACATCTTTCCGTAAGACACATGCTCTGATTTCACTTCTATAATTTCATTAGGTTACAATTAGTTTTATCATTTTAATTTGCCTTCTTGTTTGCACACTGGCATCACTGATGACAATTACAGCTCTAGAAACAGCACTTGCTAGCTTACTGCAAAATGTGGGATGACCTCAGGCTGCAAATAATGCTTTTCTAAATCAAAACAAAAAACCCCACCTAACACTGAAGCCTGAAGGTCTTAAGCACAAAGGACAAGATTTATGGTTTATCTCTTAGAAGACAAGAATTAAAACCAACATCACTTCCAGATGCAAGGCTGCAAAAAAAATTAAAACAGCATACTCCATCTAAGAAGGGAGGTGGTTTTGGCCTTTTTGTGACCCTCCCTCTCCTGAGAGGGGTAAGCAAGACAAATACTGACAATAATCTGGGCAAAGGTGAAGCTGTCTTACAATAAACATGCTTTTCTCTCTGCTTTGCTGCTGTCTCGAGTCTAACAATAAATAAAAATGCATTGAAGAATTCATGACCCAACGCAAAAATAATAGTTCAAAGGAATCACTGTGGCAGCAGGTAGCAGCAAGTTTACAGAGATTAAAATTCCATGTCAGGTCAACCAGAAATAAACACTTCCCTAATACACCCAGAGATTTGCCAAGAGGGCCAGCTGAACCCCAGGAACAGAGTGACCAGCTGGGTGGGTGTGGGTGTGCAAACATCAGCAAAAAGTCTTGCAAGATTACTCTAGAAAAAAAAATCAGCATAAGAAAATACCACTAAAAGTAACATATTCCTTTTGGGCTTTTGTAAGTGACAAAAATGTATTATCCCAGATATACACTGTAGGAGTCTTTCAAAGGGAGCAACTATTATTCATTACCCTTTTCTCCCACTCATTGTTCAAAGATTCATTGCTTTGCTCACACATCTTCTTTAACTCCACAATCTGCTTCTCTTTTGCTTCTCTGATGACTTGTGAGTCACGAACAAGGGTCTGAACTGTCAAAAATGGAAAAATAAACAACCATTCAAGAGATATCTGGGATTTTTCAGTGTGGGCAACAGATGCAATCAGATTACATCAGCTTTCCAACTGACCTGGCTTTCCGATGTTTTTTGGTTCTTACAAATACTTAATGCATGTGCTTCTTTAAAATTTAGCACTTAGATTCTGTGTTACTAATATATTACAAGGTGTTCTCTCTTCCCTACGCTAGTCACAAAATACTTCATAATGAGTTTTCCTGACTGAAGCAGTAAATATACATCAGCAAAATTTTGTAACCTTGAGAAAAGAGGCATTTTTAACGTGATTTATGTGCATCTTTAGGAGAAAATGTTCCAGTGAAGGTTGAACACTCAAGATATACAAGGAAATTAAGTTCCTCAACTTAAATTGCAAGTGATTGCCTCCAACTTAAATTGCAAGTTATTACCTCAAGAATTCAGTCTGACAAATATAGTGGAAAACAAAGCAGGTTCATAGTCACTATTCAAAAGCCACTGATGATTTTCACTATCTGTCAAGAGTGTCGGTGCTTGAACACAACCTGTTCCAGCTGAGTGCAACCACCAGCCACCAAGAGAAGCACCAGATCCTTTGCTGGACAATTTACTTTGCCAAGGAGCAGGAAATAATATACATGGAACTCTCTCCCTTTCTGTACGTAGGTTACCAAACTTGTGTATTGTTTTACATTGTGGTTTAGTCCACAGAGTAAATGGACTCCAAGGAATTCTAAAAGAAACTAACATTCAAAAACTGCTGACAAGCCACACTGAGGCCAAGTTTTGTACTTATGACATATGCAAGAGTACTAATAATCATGTTTGAAATCTCTTGCCGCAATAGTCCCAAATAAATAATACATTGTGGTTTGATAAAAATGTACTGAATGTAAAAATAAATTAAACTTGAGCCAGAGATTCCAAAAAGTTTTAAATAAGTGGTCAAAATACTTCGGTACCTTCAAAGACGCTTATTTCTGGTGACGCTCATAAAACCTGTATTAAATATAACAAGATCACACCGCCTCTTGGAAAATTTGGGTTGGAAACTGGACAGCAAAGACAATCCAGCAAGCCTTTCAAAATCTGAAGGAAAAATGAGTCCTAGACTTGCAAATGAAGAGGAAAGGAACATCTGCACCTAGAAAGAACACGTAAGCCCACAGCCACAAGAAAGATGCAGTACAATACCACCACGCAGAATACAACAACTGTGAAAGTAAAAATCACCTTTTTTCTCCAGTTTTCTAATCGTCTCCTCATATTCATTTTGTTTGGTTTTGCAGAGGGACTTCAATACCTCTATTTCATCATTCTTTCTATCGGTAGGGAAAATTCACAATACTTTTGTTAAAAGTCCAAATAAACCAAAACTACAACCAGTGCACAAAATAGTATATACACTGATCTCTGCAAAGGAGCTGCCTTCAAGAAGTGCTTAGGTCATGCAGGACTAGGTGATTAAATCCAAGTAATTTTCACAGCTGAGACTGCCAAGTCATAAACAAAGGACTGATTTAGGTAAGTGTAGGCAGAAGAGTAGATTAAAAAGGAGTTTGATGTTTCGGGGGTGGTGGGGCGGGGTCTTTTTGTTTTCTTTTAAACTTGAGCAAACCCAGTGTTGGTTTTGTTGAGTTTGGAAGTTTCATGGTGCTCCTGCTGCAAATAGAAATTATTTGTTTCCCTGTTCATATTTATGTTGCCTAATACTATTTAAAAGCACCTAAAATTCTCAGCAGGTTTAAAAGTATTTAAATAGTTGGTGAACCTCACTACAGTCTTTTGTACTTCACCAACTGCAATTCTTTGCCCATGTTCCAAGAAACAACGGGTTGGAATAGAGCAACTATGTAACTACAGTCACATTTCTGTACACGCCAATTTGGGGAAAAAATATTCTCGAGCATTTGCACACTTTTGAGATAGTATTTTAATTTAAACTTCATGTTTAAGATAAACATTAAAGTCACAGAAATTTTGTAACTGTGCCCCAAATCTCTCATCAAACAGAAGCTTTCATCTTAAAACAATATTACTCCATCTGCATTAAATGTTTTGTGCCTTTAAAGATTAAAACGACACTATTTAACCTTTTCTAAAATACCCAACGTTATTAAACAACTTCAAAGGACGGAATTCTAACATCAGTTAGAAAAGGATGACAACTCAAGGGATGAGAAAGCATTTAAACTATTTCTTATTCTCACAAAGCTGTTTCCTTTAGACTCCCAGCTTTGCTAGCTAGTGATACTTGCAGACTTTGAGAACAGATGAGCCAAATATGCACCTGACCAAATATTAACATCCTCTCAGGAGGCTTTGATGTGTCATAGTGTTGTGTCAACTAACTTCCTCCAAGTCCGTGACTCAGTCTTAAGAAACAAAACATCGGTAGTCAGTAATGCAAAGCTTACAGTAGGATAAGTCATCATGATCCCAACGCTGAGCATTTAAGTCCCACTTCGCTCCTGGGATCACAGTGCTTCAGAAGGCACTTCGGACCTCGCAGAATTTGACCCCACATGTTTAAAACATGGTATTAAAAGTAACAGCAAGGTCTTTGATAAGTTTGTAATCTTCCCAAAAGTGGTGTTATGCAACACAATAAAGACAAACCAAACTTAACCCAAAGGAAGCGTATCTGGTGTCATTCTGTTGCTGCGAAGAACGAAAAGTCACCTCCAGCTTTAACAGTGCAGTAACAAATACCGAACTGTGTCTTGACCAGCCTATGCTTTAAGTTACTGTGTCAAAACAAAGGCCTAAGAACAAGCACTATTGCTGTATTAGTGGGAACGTATGTGACACTTGATAACTTTCCTACTGTTATTTTTTGCATTCTGTCCATAAAAATTTAATTAAGCATTTTTGTTCACATTTTTCTATTACACAAATGCCTTCTCTCTAAAAGAAAAATCATGAGTGTACAACTTCATCAGCATATGAATCCACAGAAGCTGTTAGGCTGGTAAAATAGGTTGTTCTGTTCAAACAAACAAGCAAATGACCTTGTATTTTCATCTGCTTTCTGGGAGCGTTTTCCCCTTCCTAAGTTTGTTATCCTAGAATATTCTGCATTCCGATCAGCTTATGCAAACTTGTTATCTACAATCTTACTTTAGAAGAACTTCAATTGTGAAGAAGTTGAAGTGCAACTGCAAATTATTGTAACCAGAGTTTCTATTATTTTGTTTTATATACCATCTTTGGAAAAATAACACAAACACTTCTTACCTTTTGAAGATCAGCGTCATGCTTCTGCTGTAATTTAAGTTTTTCTTCATGAAATTTACCTTCTGCTATTTTCATTTTCATGTCCAGCTTTAAAAGAGAAATAAAATAGATATATAACTTAATTAAAATAAAGAATAAATTACACTAATGATCTTTGCATAACTTAAATTATTCATTTATGTCTTTGAGAAGGCAATGGGACATAACAAATAATGGCTATGAAAAAATCTATATCCAGTTTCTCAGTATTTTCATATTTATTTAATAAAACTGTTACAAAAGATCTCAACCTAAAATATTTATTTAGAAAATGGATTTGTAAGATGTTTTAGTTGGCAATAAAAACAACCGCTACTCCCCAGAAAAAGCTATCATCCTTTATTTAAATAAACACTTAAGAATGAAACTTTTACTATTTCTGTTAATATACCAAGTATGGTAAACTTGCTTCTGTTCTTTAGGCAGGTGTTACATTTATACAAAGAAGGTCCTTTAGCCCAGATGCATGTTTATTTTTGTTTTGGTTTTTTTTTTTTCTATTATTCAGAGATTTCACATTCTAAACACACTTCCTTTTAAAGGTTACTTATAACGGGATTAAGGATATTGCTGCTGAATTTGATTGCTAAAATACATTTCCTGCTTGTGTTTGTTCAAAGTGGTGTACTTGAACCCCTCCGACACAATAACACATTGCCACTTCTTACAGTATTTTTAAATCTCTTCCGTAGTTTCACTATGCCATTAACGACTGCCTTCAGGACTCTGCAAGTATGACAGGCATTTTGTGTTTCTCAGAGTCTTCTAAAAACCAAAAGTGACACCTCGAGTTCAGATTCAGGCTATTCCACTTCTGCATTTAATCATTTCTAGTATTCAGAAAGCAAAGTGGACAGAAAAGTTTCCCCAGAGTGACAGATCCCAATGACACCCCTCACTTCAGAAAGGGCAGACCAAAATCCTTGAAGCATGAGTACCAAGATCTCTCCAGAACATGTCTTTAAGCAGTCCATTGCCAACAGATGAACTTCTATTTGCCGTTTGGATGTTCTAAGAGCCCATGGTGCTGAAGTCCACCCACCTTGGAGCTGGACACTAGACTCATTGCCATTCAGCTGTTTTCAGTTCTCCAGTTGTTGCTTCGCTCAGCTAAGAACCTGACTTCTAACCCTCTCAAGTGGCAAACTCCAAAAGGAACCAACAAGCACTATTCATGCTGCCTTTATTTATATCCTTTGATTTATCAGTAGTTGTCATTCAGGCATGAATCTTTATCTAACATACACAAACAACAAACACACTGTAAATTATTAATTCCTTTTATATGATTACTTCGTGTTATATCTTTCTGTTCATTGTGACTTGAAAATGTGAGCTACAAAAATGCAAAATGCCATGTAGTAAATACAGAATACTCCTCTAGAACTGAAATCAGAGGCAGCAAGAGCAGCAAATCCTTTCAATTTCCAGCCTCCACATCTACCAATACCCAAAGTACACACCTGCTTATTACACTGCATATAGAGGCTACCTATCTCCCAAGACTAAATAGGTACATAGTCTTACGCAAATTATCAACGGAAAAAAGTTAGATTGACAATTAATCCAAAGAAAATACAGTATTCCCAGATGTCAGCCATCTCTTATCATTCAAAAATAAGCGTCACTATAAAAATGCATATGCTATTCATGAAACATACGCATATGTATATATGAAAAGAAATACATGCATATATCCCTCCAACAAAGTGACATTATAGAAGAAAATCTCAGTACCAGGTGATAAATAAGTGTTGATTTCAAAAAAAAAAGTGCACAGTAATCCACTTCCAGATAGACAGTTTGTGAACATTCCATAAATAAATATGAAGATCTTGTAAAAACACAAATACTAGAAACTAAACATGAAAGAGACTCCAATCTACTTGAATTACATTAAAAGCTTATGAATTACTGATGTATAGCTATTGCACTCACACAGCTATTAAATCCGCACAAACACATTACATTTAAAACTCATTAATAAAGTGAGAATGTCTTGGCTGATGTAAATTAATCCTTGGCAGTTTGCATCAGCTGAGATCTGGTCTACGCTTTATTATTCTGTAGGTTGAAAGAACATAAAAATAAATCAGACTAAAATTTGTCTTGTGTTAAATACGGACGTATATTTTCAAGCGATGGTGATTGTTCCCCGCCACACGGCTGTTTTCCCACAGGTTGACAGCAGAAATCCCTGTACTTGAAACTGGCTCCCACTCCTTGTCATTAATCGTCCACCTAACACCATTCTTGCACTTGTACTAGTTCTCATCAATTTTAGTTCACTAATTCATTGCACTACTTCCAGTAGAACAGACGGCCCCTAAAATTTCACAGATTTCGGGACTAGTTTCCAGAAAGGACAGCTAGTTGCAACCAAACAACAAATGTGAAAAATGGCTCCAAGATACAGAAGTCAGCTCTTAATGCAGGCAGACACTCTAATAATAAAATACCCTTTCTTCAAATACAAAAACCCCACATCTCTTAATTGAAAAATCCCAAAGACCAGCTCCTCATCAGCTGATGGCTGAAGAGCTGATACCTTCAAAAGCATTCAAGGTTCTGAACTTCTATAAACTCACTGAAATTCTGAAGTTTCAGCACCCCAGATATTGTCCTATCTGCTTCATCCACACTTATGTAAATTTGCCCCTTCAGAACTTACTATACAAAGAAATGTGGGGAGCCCCATACTAAAGTGGTTGGAATTCAACGGGTGATGTGCACATGGAGTTTTCACGTATTCTTGACAAGAAACTTGTATTTGTAATGAGTAGCTGGCAAAGAATAAAATACAATTAAAAATCTCCAACAACATTTAAATTTTATAAAGGTCCATACTTCCACGACACACATGTACCTTCATCACAACTTCCAGAAGCGTTAATTTGAGCATTTGCTGTAAAAATAAAGATGCATTGGTTTAAAAAGCCTACATTTACAATTTCTGCCGGGGAAAACTGCTGGAAAAGCCAGAAAGCATAAGGACAACAAACCAGCATCCTATGGCAAAGCTTGGAGTACTGGTTCCATCTACAAATCTGCTTTTTGACCCACCCTTTGTTCAAGGCGGACTTCCAAGCTCACCGCCTGTGCAGATAAAGTTGCATTACGCAAACTTATTTCAAAAAGTGATCTCATTAAGGCTGGGGTTGAAGCAAACGGGCTCATCACTTCACAGCTGGGAGTGGGACTTCTCCCCTTCCATTTCAAAGTTTAAACAGGTTATTAAATACTAATTTCAATAAAGGAGCATCTTTCAAATTAAAACCATACCAAACTGAGGCAACCGCATATCTGCGGTTACCAACTGTCAAACCCCATTTGCTAAGTCAGGCTCCTTGTCTTGCAGAACAGGGCTCTGGATGTGCCACTATAAAGTGCCCTTGCACTTCAGCTTTATTTATTAAACACATATTGAAAAACAAAACAACCTACAACAGTATCAGAGAGCTTCCTAAGTTTTACACAAAATAGATGAGAACAACTCAGAAAACTCATTCACCTTGTTAGAAGCAATTTACTGAGCTCACCAGTTTTAGTAACTTACATTATCAGTTAAGAAACAGCAGAGAACATGAAATTCATGGCATGTTACCTTCCAGGAAAAAAAAAAAAACAAAAAAAAACGCTGTAGATATTTAGCCATAGTTGAGAAGTTTGCAACTATGTACGAAACGCAGCCATTGCTGTTGCCTGAACATCATTCCTTTGGATTTCTGTCATTGTTTATTCTCCTTACAAAGAGTATGAGGCAATTAAACCCTAAGGCCATGTAAACAATACTGATGTCAAACATCTGTGCTGTCCCTGTTATTTAAAGCCATGGAGGGTGGTATCAACAGAACTGCTGTTATGTGCCCAGTCACACTTTCTTCCTAATCTAAAAAAGCAAAACACCACCAAAATCAGCAGTTACCTGAAAATGTGAGTTTCATCGTATCACTGTCCTATATTTTCACAGCACAGGTTAGGTGCTATGAAATTTAAATGTCAAACTTAAATCGAGAGAGTCTAATCTGCCACCGTCATAAATCTCTGGGAAAAAAAGGTGATAACTCAGTTTTCCATGACAGATAACAAACATTCATCTTGTCACCATTCACAAAAATTTGTAGAAATATTTAAATACCGGATTTAAAAGTAAATCAATAAGTAGACTAACAATACTAATCAGAGGTAGCTTTGAACTACTGATCACTCTTCACTTGCTTCATTACAGGGATCACCCTTAGGCCAGAGCGGGCATCTTGAAGGTTTAACATCCATCAGAGATATTTTTTTTTTTTGGATATTTGACAAAACAGCACTTGTTGCTTGCCAGGGTTTTTTTCCAGGTCTATGAATATATGGGGGAGGGAGAGAGGAAGCAAGGAAGGGGGAGAAGGATGTAAACAATAAATCAGAACTTCAAAGTAAAAACTAACAATACAGAACAATGACTTGTGTATCTTACAATATATGACAAAACTTATTTGCCTTGGTGTTATGCAGCTGCTAAAAGAAATCAGTGCACAATACAAAGCTTTGATATTTTCATAGAAGAAAAAGGTTTCTTAAACAAACAAACAAAAACAATCCCAACAACTAGAACTTTCTACCGAATCACGTTTACTCAGTTTTCACAGCTTAAAAAAAAATAACTATCAATAATTTAGACAATGTTTTAAACTATATAGGCAGGCCAAGGCAGGAGATACTGTACTTGCAAGACATTCAAGATTTATTATACATAAAGCCACACTGACTTCAGACAAAAGTAATTTGGAATACTGTATTTCACATCTTAATTAATAAGCTATATTTTTTAATTGTTATTTCTGTATCTTATATTGTATCCCCAAAATTTTTTAAGATTAGCTTTGAGGTACATCAATACTTCTAACATTTAGAACAATTTAAGAGTCAGAACAACCACCTAAATACATAAAAGAAAATCATTGGCACGAAAAAAAGGAAACATTCATACTCTATAGCAATTTATTTGAACAGAAATTTCTACAGTAACTACAAAGTTTAATCACATTGGAACAAATCTTTCA